TCGATGGGCTGAATTGCACAAAACGCATGATCGCACCCGCTAGTCTGGTGCGCGTTGCTATTTATTTTTTTGTGCACCAATATGATTTTTTGTTTGTTTTTTTTTTTTGAATTTTTTGTGCACTGTGTATCGGAATATGCTTTGTGCATCGGAATATGAGTTTTCGTGCACCGTCGTAACATGAATTCTGATATGATGTGCACCAAAAATTACCAAATTTTGGAAATGTTTTTATTTTCTAGAAGCAAAAATTCATCATAACCGAACAATAATCCTGCGCTTTTTTTAAGTAACAGTAAGTGAAATAGAAATATTATTCCTCCAAATTCTCTGGAGGAACTTGAAGCGCCCACTTTACCCGTAAATGAGCTCTTAATTGTACAAAATAACTTTCTACAAAAACTTGGTATTTCATATTTCACTGGGCTAATCTCATGAAACTCAAATGTATGGGATGGTACGGATACGGAAAGCACAATGTTGTGGTTGATGAAAAAGTTGCCAGTTGCAATGCACAAAAACTCAGATTACTAATTATTAGATGCCACAGATCTAACATAAATCTCTCTTTTACCTCACCCTTCTTTGAGTTATAATCCTCACCCCTCCTCTTTTTCATACGTGATAAATCATAATTTCGTTATCATTCATTCATTTACAGGTAGAGGACTTTCACATAACAACTAATTCATAAGCCCGCAATCTTGTCCGAGATCAATAAGCTAAAATAATCAGTAATAAACAAACATTAGCAGAGAAATCCAGAACGAATTTTGGACAAACACAATTTTTATATTTTATGAACAAAAGTTGAAAAAAGGAGGAAATGGCCATAAAACACAATGGAAATGAGGTCAGAAAAATGTAAGACAAAAATAAAAAACAAAAATCACATAAAACTTCATTCCAAAGAGATCAAAAGAAAAATTTTGAAATGATAAGAATAAACAATAAACTCACTCGTCATTTTTCAAAAGGCTTAAATCGGACAGATGACAAAACTGCTTTTGGCAAAAATAACTTTGAGGGACGACTGACTTATACACAAATAACAGTTCAAAAATTTGACGATTTTTGAAAAATTTCCGGTAATTTTTCGACAAATACTAGGAAATTTTGGGACTTTTCGGAAACTTCTGCAAAGTTTTCTTCCAAAGACTTTCTGAAATCTGTCTTTCAAAGAATTTCTGAAACCTGGTAATATTTTTAAATCCTTCTTCGCACTGCTAAAAAATCCCAAGCTTTCTTCAAAAATTCCAAAAAAATTTCAAGTACAAGACTGTCACATGTAAAAAGCCAATAACTACTCAGCTCCACTTTAGCAACAAGTCAAAAGTTTTGGAAAATGTCTCTGGGAAGTGCTCTAAGAAAACTTAGAGCACCTTAAACCGCTTCCCAAAGATTCTGTTCAATCCCAAGTACACAAGCATTGTCAAAAGTGGGCCATTATCGCATTGGAATCCTACGAACGTTAGCATCTTTTAGTTCCAGGAAACCACTTTCCAGCTGCTCAGCTATTAGCTTACGAATCTCCGCTGCAGAATCGCAAATCGTCTCTTCCTTATCTTCGGACAGCTGTTTCAAAAGATGCAATATATCACCCAGAGGTAATTCCTGCAAAAAAATCGGGTTTTCAAATTTAAAATTGCTGGAAAACCAATGTAAAAAACAAAATAATTGGCCAACGCACGGGCTGCCGTGCGTTTTTTGCATCGCTCCCCCCAGATTTTTGTCGCCAACGGCACTGATTTTTCTGGCAGATGCTTCTAGCTAAAAGAATTTCAGATTGGCTGCCAGGACTGTCAGGAAAAATCCCTTCAAAATCCCAGTCAACTAGCTTCTCACTTTTCCGAGTTAGCAACTTACCCGGAAGAAACTGTCAAGGGCCCGCACGCAGGTTCCACGCTTACCCGCGGCCAGGGTTTTAACTCGTTAACACCTAGTTGGACGGGGAACATTGCCCTAAGATTTCAGCTCTCTAGCTTCTCAAATCCCCGAGTTGTGAACTT